GTGTTATTTGATCCTTGTGAGCACTCATTTGTTGTAAAACATGTGATGTAAAGATCCACTATGATTTAGGACTTGACATTTATGAAGGATGTACCTTTGTGCATGCTTTTCACTGGTGATATATTTGTAATGGACAGAACTGAATATATGGTATCTCATTTTAGTAGTGATCGATCTAGTGGCGGGGTTGTAACAATGGTTGATCAAGGCATTATGTTTCTAGGGAAGAGAAGCATAAAATCAAGTGTTGTTGAAATGATAATTTTTGTAGCATGAATGACCTCTTAAAATGTATAATTTTTGTAATTTTGATAAAGTTGAAGTTTGTGTTTCGTTTTTGTAGAGTTGTTGAATGATCTGTGTATATTGATGCCAAAGGATGAATATGGCATGAACTGCATGCTCTGTTTAAATACTTGAGTAAGCTTATTAGTTCATGTAAGGAGCAGGATAATTTCATACTGTTATGAAACTTGTGTATCAACTGAAAGTAATGGACAATTATCAGTAAGAAGTAATGGACAGCTATCAGTTGATGTAATCACCTCCATATTAGTATGTGAAGGTATATTTTACTTTTGTATATGTAACTCTGCTTCTTTGATGTGATCAGAAATATTTGAGTTATATAAATGTAACTCAATTCTTTTGTTTTTTCATGTCTTAACATTTGAACTTTAATTTTGTAGAGAAAATTACAAATTCTGCGTGACAGATTGTTGATTTAACTAAAAAAAGATTATAAATAAGTTGTTTACAAAACACACAAACCAAGCAAATAAACAACTTATCCACAACAGGGGCAGTATAGTCATTTATAAAAAATCAGTTGTTTTCCAAACGCACAAACCAAACAGTCAGCCAGCTTATTTGGATCAGCTGCTCATCAGCAGATTATCAGGATAAGTTGTTTATCAGCAGAAGTTGGATAAGCTGCAGCTGCCCCAAACAGACCCTAAGTCCAGAGGGTGGCTTCACTGGACAAGATTGATGGGCTACAACCAAGGGTGACACTCAAACGCCTTACAGAGACGGAGATCTAGGAGAAGCAAGTGAAGGATTTATGTTTATAGTGTAATGAGAAGTTTAACCCTTCAGGATAAGGTGACTTTTTGGGAGGGGAGTATTGCTACGCTGATGCCAAAGGGGCAGTTTAACCTTTTATTAGCCTAAGGGCAATTGACTCTTTTATTATTTATTATTGATTAGTATAAATAGACCTGAATAGATTGAAGGTTAGGGTATGTATGAGATAATTATTGTGAGTCTTAGGTTTGGGATTTGAGATAGATTTCCAAACTCTCGAATTGTAGGAATTGTGAGAGATCGCCTACTCTCAAATTGCAGGTGATTATCTTTGAATTTGTGTTGAATGTTTGATGTTCTTGCAATAAAATATGTGCTTGTCCTAATTTTTGTGGGAAAATGTCTCTAATCCTATCATATTTCTACATTTTAACCAAAGAGCATGTCCTCATCTATATGCTTATTAATTGATGTAACACATTCATCACACTCAAAAACTACCACAAAGAAACAACATTTGAACATTTAGCAATATTGACTAATAATTATAAACTTCACAACTCCTAAAATTGGATATTGGTGCTCTCATAATAAATCTACCAAATTTGTCTCCATCTGTCCAAATTTTCATTTACTTTTAAAACAAGCCTACTTATAAACATCACATCAATTTATGGTCCACGCCAAGTCAAATCAGTTAAAAATCCCTTCATAAGCATCTGCGTAACCTTATGTTATATGTTCCTCTAACTTTTCACTAGGTGTATATCAAAAATTAAGTATCAACAAATGATGATTCCTAAGATAAGTCGTTGCAAATATCTTTCATAAGTATACCAATAACAAATTCAAAAAAATACAAATAATATGTTGTATTTTGTATCATTGATGTAACCTTCTTTCCATTTGAAAAGCATTAGTAACTTAGAATGCATTTTAATAAGTCACTAACATAAATTAAAAAAAATTGATACATTTGTTCCTTTATATGTCATACAATAACTTCTTAAAGATAAACAAAAGCAATAAGACAAAATTTCACCATGCTTCATATTTTTCATTACTTTTGTGGAACAAAAAATCAACTTTGCAGATTTTTTTTAACATCTAGTCAAAATGATAATACAATGACATAAAATATCACACTGTTTACTCCATTAATATCTCTAGTAACTCCATTGCACAAACTCATATGATGTCAACTCCTAAAACAAAATAACAAGGGCATAAATCAAGTTTGACTAAATTCACTAGTTCTTGTTTTTACTAGCTAATGGAGTGATTTCCATAACTTTAAAAAACACACTCGCATCTTAATTAGTCTTCAAAACACTATATTATTAACAGTTGACCAATTGTATTAAAATTATAATTATCGTAATCAAAGCTAATTAATTTGGGCTTACAAATCCTCCTGATTTGCTCTTGTTCTATGTAAACTTGTAAAGTATAACTCTAGTTAGTTAAAATAGTTACGTGCAATTTTTAGTCATACTATTTTCAGTCTACTCATTTTCCTTCCTAAACCTTTCACCTTTGTTTCTTATCTATCCATCTATTTGAGACATCTTCTTTATCTATCAAACAAGTCAAAACCACTTAAATTCATATTATTTTATTTGGGCTTCAAAGGCTAGACACCCACATTTTTTTATTATAATCGTTTCTCACCTAAGCACTACTAATTATTATATAGATAAAGCTTTATCTGTCCTTCCTATCCCAACTTGAGTGTTTGTAACTTCATTATTGCTCAAAACTTCTAATTAAATAGCATAGCCGTTTAAATTGCATTTTTGTATGATTTCCCTTAATCTCTATGGTACTCATGGCACAATACTGTCAATACACTTCACCATTTTAAAAACTTAGCTTTAACTTTAAACATGATGTCCTCATTTATATTTTCATCTTTACGCCTATGAAATTCTAGAAGTAATGCATTTTAACCAAAGTACTTTAGCTGAAGAAGCTACGCCATCTTCTATAATTTTATTATTTTAGATTATACATCCACAATATAAAACTAGATCATAAAGAGGGGTAATCGGTTTTTCAACAACAATGAGTACTAACAATAAATTTCAAAATGATTAAAATTATTTAATGCATCATAATAATTTTATGCTTTGTTTTTTTTCTAAAATTCTCTATTTTGCAAATTTTCAATTCTTTCGGAAGATATAGTGTTTATCAACATTATACACTAAAAAGTAGTGCGCATCAAGGCAATTTAACCTAAATGTCTTCACAAATATCTTAAGAATCTTATTTTCTAAGCAATTCCATCAAACTTTTCCTCATCATGTACTGCAAAAGAGTTATTATGTATCATAACGATATCATCAACAAATATTTAAAATTGAGCAATTTAAGGCTTGCCTTAGTGCGAGGTACATATGAAGTGCATTGAGGCATACATCTTAATTGTATGAGGTGTGCAATGAGGCGCATTTTAAAGCATATATAATGAGGTGTATGACTCTATTTTAGGTTTTAAAACTTATGCACTTTTTAATGAACCTAAAATCCAAGTGGCATTATGAAATATTAGAGGATTATCTCAATGTCGACCATTTTTATTGAGAAAGAAAAAAAAAATCAACAAAAGTTAACAAGTAATAAAAAGAGGTAACATATACCTTTATGTGATATAAATTATAAAAGATCAACATAGTAATTATTTTAAATAATATATTCATTGAATTATACTAATCAAATAAGATATACTAGCCAAATAAGACAAAGAAGATTAAACTTAAAAACCAGGAAGAAGATAGAGAGGATGTAGATACAAAAGAAGATGGGGGCCAAGAAAGCAATTAACTATGATAATAATTTTAATGAAGACCCTCCAAGTAAAAAAAGTGGGAGAAACGTTTGAATTTGGAGTCCCAAGTCATATCTAATTTATATTAAGACAAGTATACTTTATTTTAGTCTTCTTATTTATCTTTAGTCTATCTATGTTGATCTTATACCTCTATTTATTATTGAGTGCTTGTATGGCTTTTTATGATGTTACTTTGACACTTATGGATTATTCCCAAATGATTTATTAGAAGAAAATCGAGCTAAAATTTTTCTAATGCCACTACTTACTAAGTCATAAGACACTTAATCATTTTATTTTGAGGTTTATGCCTCATAATAGTTTAAGGCTTACGCCACATCTCAAAAAATATGCCTTAAATTTCGATTGTGCAATTTAAACAGTCATAAGAAAATTACAACTACTGAAGTGCCCCATCTTGAATATTTTGTAAATCTCAAAAAAATAAAAATGAACTGGCTAATAATAGTTATTACTCTACCCATATTATCAAAAATTTGATATCAATTTGTTTAAAGCGCCATCAGATTAATTCTCATGCTAGATCATAAACCTTTTTATGATTAACAACAAGCAAAGATATTTCACAATGTCTTTTATATTTTTCTCATCAAGTATATTGACGCAAAAATCACATTTGTAGTAAATCTTCTCAGCATATATAGTCAAACTGATTCTATAATGATGACATAATTTATCTCAGCATTAGTTCCATTACCATCTCTTGTAACTATTTCCTTCAACTGTAAACATCTAATTAAATCTTCAATACCAGTACCAAAGTCTTATACAATTATTTCAAATCATCTTAAATCTCATGGTTACGTTAAAATGATTTCTTAACGATGCAATTTCAACAGCTCCCATAACTCCCAAATCTATCATTCAAGAGTAGCTCAACAAGATAAATATATGAGTTTATGCATAGTTTACCATTCCAAACATATTCCTTTTTTGCTAAAGAAAAATAAATTAAGAATAAAGAAAAATGAAAATAAAAAAATAATTACAAATAAGGAGCAATTTTTCCCAAAAATACCAATAATTTTTTAGTTCACCGGTAATCTAAAAAAGCATTAAAAGAAATATACAGTCAACCTAGCGTTCATGTCAGTTATTGGTAGACAAACAAGAGTCATACCTTTGGGTCGGTTTGAGAAACTGATGACACAAAAAGATCTTCATCACCACCGGGAGGTCCTGGTTCTGGTTTTCTTCCTTCTTTCAAAGCTTTCCGTATGTCCGCAGCTTTCCAAACTGCATACTTTAGCTTTTGTTCAATCTGTGAAATATAAATTAAAAAAAATAAAAGAATTGATTCAAGTCAACTTAGTTGATCATAACCATTTTGATCCCACAGCTTGGAAGCAAACACCAAAAAAAAATGAATGCTCCAGAGACTTACATCCGGCGCAAGTTCACCAAACTGATTCAAAACTTCAAAGAAAATGCTAGCAGCATAGAAAGTTTTCGCAGTATTCCTGTGTCATAAAGTAAAAACAGTGCCTCCAAGAATCAAATAGAAAATACTTTCACTAAATACCTTCATCTTATTTAGAACCTAAAGGATAAAATAAAGAGGAATGAAGCAATACAGGTCAGCCCGTCTGGCACGATCTTGCTTGTCTGCCTTCGCAAAGACATTTGAAGCGAAGCCCTCTACATATAAGTTGTCTTCAGGCCCTAATTTAAGAGCTTTTTTATCCTGTCAATTATTACAAATTTAAAAAACATACATATACAAAACATTAGATAAAAAATAAAAAAATACAATTGTTTGATTTCTTCAGCAAATACTGATGTAAGAAATACAATTTACCCGCCAGATCTATTACTGGTAAGAGAGAATGCATTAAAAGGAAAAGGGAGCTCAGATATATTACTGGTAAGCGAGAATGCATTAAAAAGAATACAGAGTTCAACTAGCTTCAACTTAGATCAGCATTCATGCATTATCAGATAACAAAATTTCAACAGGGGGCTGGGGCAGCGTGAATGTATCAAAAGAACAGATCATCATTGTTGGCCACTGCATTTGAATATCAAGCACAACTTGAGATATAATAACAAAAAATTTCATCACAAAGATCAAGACAATTTAGGCTAATTTAAACTACAATGATTGCTACGTGATATTTTTTCAACTTTACCAAGATTTTCTCAAACGAGGTATACTTGAATGATTTCACTTGTGATGAATTCATAAAACAGGCTCTTACTAAGCTCCCAACTGGCTTTTTTGGTGTGGCTGAGTGGTATTCAGCTTATTATCAGCAGAAGCATGTCTTTATCATCACCATTAACCATTTCTCTACCTATTTGGTTGAAATAAGTAATATTTTCTTCCATCCACTCTTGTTAAGAGCAACATCAGTAATAAGATCTTAATTTTACTTTGGTTAAATCATTTGGAACAACCTACAACCCTTTAAAAATAAATCCATCACACCCAACCTTAACATTTTTTTCCTTCTGCCCAACAACGCCTAGTGTGCCAAACCCATCTCAACCTATAATGTAGTGTCCCAGTGTTGAGATGTGGAGCCAAATTTGCACTAGGGAGCACCCAGCAGCACAAGCGGCAGAGAAGGAGCAATCCAGCGCCAAAGTGAAGTTTTTCGCCCGTTTGAAGGCGCCCCTGCACCCTTTTTGCACGCCCCAGCACCCAGATTCCGAGAGGGCAGCGCCCCTGAGGGTGCAGTAGTGCCAGGGATGATTTTTTTTTTCTTCTTGTTTGGTTCTTAAGCCCTTGTTTCTGCGAAAAAATAAAGTAACTTTTCAGACTTGCTTGTGTGGAACTCTCTCTTGCAAGGAAATTTTCTTGACTGTGCTTTTGTGTGGAGCGGTGAAGTGTCGAGAAGAAGCATTTCGGCGATTTCCCTCGTATGATTAAGAGGAGCATCCCGAAGTTGTTGTAAACTCTAGAAGTAGAGTTGATCTGAGCGATATAAAATTTGTATGTTTCTCTTAATTTTTATAGTTGAATTTTAGTGTGAGGTGGCTCCGTGACTTTTTCCTGTTCTCGAGTTTTCCCATGTTAAATCTCGATGAGTTTTTCTGGATTTTTTTGTTGTGCGCTTCTGTTTAAATTTTGTTTAGGATTTCTTGAATCGGTATATTTTTTTTGCAGTGTGGTAATGGTTGTTAATTGATCAAATCGCTAGTTTTCATCTCGTCAAGTGGAATCAGAGTAGGTTTCTTTTCTGAAAATACTTGATTGGAGTCAAAGCAATAAACAACAAAACGAGGTACAAGGTGGAGAAGTTCAATGGATCGAACTTTGTATTATGGAAAATGCAAGTGGAAGATTTATTGTATGAAAAAAAAAATTATATTTGCCACTGGAAGAAATTATCAAAAAGCCTGAAGTGATGATATAGAAGAATGAAAAGTGTTGGATCAAATAGCTTGAGATTTGATCCATCTTTCACTTTTCTCATATGTTGCTTTTAACATGTAAAACAGGAGAACTAAAGTGTATCTTATGGTGACATTGACAAGAATGTATGAGAAACCTTCCGTTTCAAATAATTTTTTTACGAAAAAGAGGTTATTCAACATGACGATGACGAAAAACAGTTCAATGGTTGAACACTAGAACAATTTCAATACTATGAGTCTATGATTAGCCAGTTGTGTTATGTGAGCGTCAAATTTGATGACATCAGAGCACTATTAATTTTATCTTCATTGTCGGACAACTGAGATGGATTGGTTCACTTTTCAGGGAATATAAAGTTGAAATTTGATAATATCATAGGGTTAGTGTTGAACGAAGAAGTTTGCAGAAGATCAGCAAGTGATGAATCAACTTCTGTGTTGAATGTTGAGAATATGGAAAATAATATGGACAGGAATACACGTAGAAACAATTTCAAGTACAGAAGAGAAAAAACAAGATCAGACAAAGAAAATGGCAAAGGAGAATGCTAGAACTAAGGGAAGAAAGGTCATTTCAAAAAAGACTGCAAAGCTCTAAAGAATGCTAGTGGTGGAGGCCAAAACAAGAATCTCTCTACAAATGTCTCCATAGGCAAAATCCAAGGTAACTCCCTGATTTTATCCCTAATAAGTACTAAATCTTGGATAGTATAATCAAGTGTCTCTTTTCTTGCATGCCCCGATAAAGAGAAGTTTAGAAACTATACTCATAGTATTTAGGGAAGGTTTACTTGGGAGATAATAAGGTATACATCATCGAAAGAAAATGTGATGTTGATAAGTTGTCTAATTGAACAATTTGGAAGCTCGGTGAAATTAGGCAAGTTCTAATTCTGAAGAGATTTGAAATTGGTGAATCAACTAACAAAGTCTGGGTACATGGCTATTTTCACAAGTAATTCGTGGAAGAGAACCAGAGAGGCAATAGTCATGACTCAATGCATCATTCAAGACACTTTACCTTATCAATGATATGACAAAATACACTGATGTGGTTCGAACCAACGTTGATGCAGATTTATGGCACTGCAGGTTTGGCCATATGAGCGAGAAAGACATGAAATCCCTACTTTCAAAGAACAAGCTTCAGAGTGCGAGACATATAGATTTAGATTTATGTGATAAGATTGTGTATATGACAAACAAAAGAAAATTTTTTTCTACAAAAAATGGGTCAATTATAAAATCAAATAAGCTAGAATAAGTGCATGCTGACATATAGAGTCCTACTCGAGTTTAGTCCATTAAAAGTTTCCATTATTTTGTCACTTTTATTGACGATCACAGCAAAAAGATATGTGTTTACTTCTTAAAGTAAAAATTTGACTTATTTGAGGTGTATAAGAACGGGAAGATCGTGATAGAAAATAAAATAGATTTGAGGTTAAAGTATCTCAGATCAGATAATGGAGGTGAGTATTTTGAGATTCAAGAGTTACTGTGCATAGGAGGGGATTAGGCATGAATTGTTGTTCCGAGGGCCTCCACAACAGAATGAAGTGGTTGAGAGCATGAACAAAAGCATCACAGAGTGTGCTAGGAGTATGAAGTCGCATGCAAGCTTGCAAAAATATTTCTGGGCAAAAATAGTGAATATTGTTGTTTATTTGATCAATCGTGATCTATTAGTATCTTTGAAAGAAGGTCTACCTTAAGAAGTATGGAGTGAAAAAAAGGCAAATCTATTTCATCTGAAGGTATTTGGTTGTTATGCACACATTCATGTTGATGCATGGTCCAACTATAAAGTTGACTCGAAATATATCAGTGCACTTTCATTGGGTATGACTAAGATGAATTTCATTACAAATTCTAGGACTATCAAAATGAAAAGTTTATCAAGAACATTGATTTTATTTTCAATGAAATAAAGATGTACAATGAGAGGAGCAGAACTCATATTGTCTCTCAGTTACTTTTGAAGAGTTTAAATATGTTGAGATAGAAGATAATGGTGATTAGAAGAACTGAGAAAGGAGAAGTGCTCAATCAGATGAAGTACATGCAGTTTCTCAGTCAATTGCTACTGAATTCAAGAAGTCCAGCAGAGTGATATTACCAGCACATAGGTACTCTTCTTTATAATATTTGTTGCTAATGGATAGTGATGAATAAGTGTGTTATGAAGAGATCACTCAAGTTGAAGATTCTAAGAAATGAGAATGTCTCATGGATGATTAGATGCAATCAATAAGGTCAAAATAAACATGAGAATTGACGATTGTACTAGATGGCAAGAGCACTACAAAACAAGTGAGTTTCGGACAAAAAGATGAGCCAAATAGTAGCAGGCGCTATAAAGACTTTTTGTAAAGGGATTTCAATAGAAGGAATGAGTCAGCTACACTAAGATCTTTTCTCTTATAGCGAAGATGACAATTGTCAGAATTGTATGGAGCTTAATAGCCTTCTTACATGGATGCAAAAATAGCCTTCTTACATGGAGATCTGGAATGAGAAACTGTATATGATGCAACCACAGGGCTATGAGGTTTTAGGGAAAAAATATTTGGTTTGCAAATTGAAGAAGAGTCTCTATGCCTTGAAACCAGTCCCGAGACAGCGGTACAGAAGGTTTGACAGGTTCACATCAGACTATGGATATATGAATTGTCGAGCAGACCACTCTTGTTTCATAAAATATTTTGATAATTCTTATACCTTGCTTATTTTATATGTGGATGACATGTTGATTATATGACAAATATGGAGAAAACCAAGGACTTAAGGGAATAATTATCAAAATAACTTAAGATGAAGGATTTAGATCCAACCAAGAAGATCCTTAGGATGAGAATCAATATATACAAGAGCATAGGTACACTGAAATTGTCTCATACAGAGTATGTTGAGTAGATCTTTCACAAGTTCAACATGAGTGAGGTAAAATCAGTTTGCACCCCCTTAAGTTGTCACTTCAAACCATCTAAGAAACTATCGCCCAAGTTTGAAGCAAAGAAAGCACAGATGAGAATTTTGTATGCTTCAGCAATTTGAAGTTTGATTTACGATATGATATGTATAAGACCAGATATTACACATACAGTGGGAGTGATCAATAGGTACATGACTAATCCAAGCAAGCATCATTGAAAAGCGATAAAGGGAATTCTAAGATGTTTGAGAGGAACAATCAACATGACACTTTGCTTTGAAAGTGCAGAGATCAATCTACATATATTTGCAGATTCAGATCTGACAAGATATGACAGGAAATTTAGATGGTAGAAGAAGTACAACAGGATATATCTTCGCTTCGAGGAA